GTGCCGCGACAGCTCTATCTCCAGAATCCTGCCATTCTGCCAGCACCTCTCAAGGCTTGCATGCGGTGGCTTGCAAGCCATTACATTCCATCAGCAAACCACACGGCTCTGGAGAATGCAGCAAAAATCATCTTCTCGCCGGACGTGCCTGACGATGGCTTCAAGGTGCAAGGTCTCCTCCTCTACGCAATGACCTGCTTCGCAAGGTTTGGTCAAGGAGAAGGATCCATGGCACTGGACAAAGCGATCGAGATCGCTCTCCGGATTGGTCTCAATCGGCAGAGCTTTGCTCTGCAGCAGTCTCCCAACGATTCAACAATGCAAGAATCATGGCGCAGAACATGGTGGACACTCTTGTTGATCGAGGGCTTGGTGGTGGTCATTGGGGGTCAATCATCGCCATTCCGACTGTACTCGACCTACACGGACGTGGCTTTGCCTGGCCACGATGAAGACTACAACGACCTCCGGTCACCCCCGATAACTCGCACGATTGCAGACCTCCGAAACAGGACCTTCTCTGAAGACACTTTCGAATACTCGTCCTTTGCCTATTGCATCGAGGCGGCGTATATCCTCGGCTCTGTGCTTGCCTTGAGCCCAGACACATTTGCGGTGACAGATCCTCAAGTTGAAGGTATTGATGCCGCCATTTCGAATCTCTTACTATCCCTTCCCATGGACAAGCGAGAAGTAGTCCGTAACGATGGTACTATCGACGAATGCCTCCTTATCGCCCATCTGGTCATCCATTGGGCCGCTATCTGCCTGCACCGTCCACGATCTACCTTGACTTTCATCCGAAATCATTATCGCACGACATGCACAAAAGCGGAGGCTGCTGGTCTCCCTGCTCTAGCTTACACCTCGCACACTGCCAAAGCATTGCGAGCAGCGAACGCCATCACCAACCTGGCGTCCATCCAAACAGATGTCAAGATGTGCTCGCCAGTGCTGATGTGCGGCTTGACCACTGCTGCAACAGTGCACTTGCCGGCATACGCCATCGTGGATACCCCCGATCAAGCTGTGGCAATCAAGGAACGGCTACAACTTAGCATTTCGGCCCTTGGGTCATTCGGTGAGGTTTGGCCACGGGCTACCATCGCCAAGGGGCAAGTGGCCAAATTTGCTCGCGAGGTCTTGACAAAGCCAAACGTCTATGTCGATAGCACAGTTCCTGGGATGATACCACGTGTCTCGGAACCTGTGCCTCAGCTGGAGTATCAGATGCCCTTCAACAATGAGTCGTGGATGGACAATCTGATCCAAGCAGAACAGGACGTAGAAGCCCCGTCATGCCCTGTCTTTGACACTTTCGCCATGGCTCAGAATCAGGGTTCCTGAGCGGATTCGGAGAATCTTGTGTACATTTACTTTTATCTCTTTCGACGTTTAATGGATTGGGCTGGAAACTATCAAATTTTCTTTCTTGGAGCAGGCATGCGCTTGGCCATGGGATAAAAGACCACTGCTCCAAAATTCAACAATTTTTGCAGTGAGGAATGGAATATATCGGCTGCTGGATATGAACAGCCACAGGGCTTCGTTGGACTTTCGGGTGCTTGATGAATTACGACAACTTCAACTTCTCTTTATTCTGTCATCTATATACCGGCGAGGCAGAACGGCATGGTTGAGACAAAGCTGTTCAGACCTTGTTTTACTCTCTAATCTTCGTCATACCCAGAACTTCAAGCTTCGGTTCCGAGGATCATTGTCATGAAAATATTGATTCATTGATTCATTAACGCCTATTTGGGTCTCTGGCAATCTCAGCACCCATGAGGAAGACTAGCTACAGGCATGGACTCAATTATTCTCGCTCAGCACAAAAGTGAACCCGGCCCCGTCACTGGTCCCCCCTACACACGTGCTGCTAAAAGTCCCCGTCGGACAGATAGCCTGTGCTGCTCTCACACACCCTTCCCATCTCCCCTTGCTCACGTTGATCGTGGCGCCCTGGGCTGCATTCACAGCTGTCAATGTAAACTTTGATGTTCCCGACGCTCCAATCGTCGTTGAAGGGTTGCCCCCGCAAAACTGGATTGAGCCGGCGATGCCGCCGCAGATCGACAGGATGGCGACATTGGTGTCATGCGTGTTGAGGACCGCGGTGGGATCTATACAGGTTGTTCCGGTCACGGCGCTAGGGTTGACGAAGGTGTTTGCTGGGTCGCGAGGACGTATTGGGTAGCCGATGCTGCCCGTTGTGGTGGACGGCAGCTCCGGGTGGTCATCCCACCATAGAGGAGACGACGTCGTGTGGACAATGAAGAGCAGGAATGTGAGGGAGAGAATGCGAACGAGTATTTGCATGGTGGCTGTCGGGATTGATTGATTGATCGCGGCGGTTTAATTGCAGAGAGACTCAACTGCGAAGGTGAACTGTCACTTGGACTTCTTGCACAGACTGATGCTGAGCACGACGGCCCCATGCATCCATACATATATATGTCAGATTCTATCCATGACTCTTCTGCCGTGGTGTCATCTCGGCTAGGAAGTTGATTGATCTTTACCCTTTTTCAAGCCTCACATGGCTTGCAGACGGCCCAGTCAAACCCATCTCCTTGAGGGAATTAAATGAAAAGCTCGAAAAAGAAAGGCGCTGCCCTGTATTTAGTACCATCCTGGAGGGTTTGGGGGGATGGCTTCTGCGTGAGACAGCCGGCATCTGTTGAGGCGTGTCAGAGTCGTGGTTGATGTGGCAATCTGTCACAGAAGAGTTTGACGTGCTTCTAGCGAAAAGCCTCGTGTCACCGAATCCCGTTCTGTCCGCTCTAGTGCTGCTTCGGATTAACGTCGGATTAAATACGGCAGAGTATATAGTGGAAAGGGGCCAGGTGACACGGTGAATCAATTGCGTTTCTGATCCAATATTCCCTTGGATTTTGAAATTGCCTGCTCGTACCTGCGAACTCTCAATTACCTCAATCGATACTCAATCATCCTCCCTGCACCGTGACCCAAAGCCCCTCGTACCGAACTGAGGGAAGCCGAAGCCATGACGTGTCAGCTTTCTCGCGAAGAATGTCCAGCTACAAGACACCAACTTCAAGTCCCTTCGAGCAGGTCCCCTCGAGCAGGCAAACACCGAGCACAAGTTGCGCACTATTGCCTGCCAAAAAAAAATTCCCCACGCCCGCAATGATGATGATGTCCGCATGGCTTTGACGGAGGGTTCGGGTACCCTGGGGGCAGTGCTTGCCAATATTCCGGACTGACTCGGGTTGAAATGAACACGGTGGTGGTTGCGTCAATAAACTGGCTGAGTATACACCAAGCCTGGCAGCGGCGGATATAGAGGCTTCTGTACTGGAGTTGTCAGCCTAAGATTGAAAAGTTTCTTGATTATTTGCCCAGCTCTCTGTCAATTACTCGACGATTGCATCTCCTACACCCGCAAGCATTCCGTGACAGGTATGTGTCTCAACGAAGCCTCCGGCGAGACCTTCGCCAACAACTCCGAGAAGTCCTCTTTCACCTTCAGCGGCAAGCCCTTTATTGTAGGGTGGCTGGACTCCGCTATACTGTGGCTGCCTGCAGGAATGTCAACAAGTGCATTGCCGCGCTGATGGACGTCAAGTTATCCATTTGGAGCAAAATTGGCATTGGTGCCCCGATGGTGCTGGTCGTAATAGGAACCTACCTAGCCTTGCTGCTGCGCTGATGGCGTGTATGGTGATGGTGCTTTCTGGTTGGGATGGAGACCTTACGGCAGAGTCCCATTGTCGCTGTGGCGTTGTTGCTCAATCGAGCCGGTCAGAGCATACCACTTGTCTTTTTACTGAAGTCATCACCGAAAGTCATTGTCCTAGCCTATTATTAGTCGCGAAGAGGAGGGAAGTCCGTGCAAGCCACATACACGACAACTCTCGGCCCTCTGGTGTTTTCTTCGCAAGTCTTGCATGGTTTCTGTCACCCCGTATCCAGCCTTGCACATGCCTGAAGCAGACGGCCTTCTCGATTGCTGGTCCAGAACGGCCCTTGGATTCTGACCTCCCGGATGCAGAGAAGCACGAATTCATCCTGCGGAATTTTGGGTTCGGGACCACCACGGGAAGTTCTGCTTGGAATCCTCACACCTGGGCGCGAAATCCCGTCCAAGTTTTTCAATTTTTCAATACGCTTTGCATCCACAAATTTCGCCGAGTTTGGTTGGACGAAAACCGTCATGCCGGTAAAGAAGGGCACGTTAAAGTCCAGTATGCTGAATCGAGATAGGAGCCTCAGTATGGGATTTATAAACCGGACCCTTCCATGGCAAGTCTGGTCATGGTGTACGCGTACAATGCCTGCTTGCTGTTTCAACATTTAACCCCTGGAGCTCTCTCTCCCGCACTGTTCTAGTTTCAGCTTTCTACAAGCCGGACACTCTGCCCATTGGTTCCCTCCCTTCATATAAATGTATATTTTACGGACAATGGATCCTTCCACTCTGTGACCTATGATTTGTCTGCACACATTTGCGGAAGATGAGTTCTCTTAGCAGCATGTTCCTGATTTGAGTTGTTGGCTGGAAAAGTAGCCAGAGTGGCCGCGCGAGTGCGGGTCTTCGCTAACTGGAACAGGTACGTATCAAATATGCTTCTCCTTACCTTCCTGGGCTCAGCCTGACACTTGGTGTCAAAGGATTCTGTCTATCAATGCTCGGCCACGCAGTCAAATCGTTCGAGGCTCGCCCAAGGCCAAGTTTCTTCGTCGTCGTGAATGCGATCTTCGTTGCTGCGCCTCTTGCCCTGGGCTCTCGGGTGTTCCCAAATCCGCCAGCTTAATATATCCCCAATCCTTCCCAGGAGTCAGGCAGATTGCTGTGTCTACCAGATACCATCACTCTTGATTGCTGTGGTCAAAGAAATATGACACCGAAGCTTTTGCAAAACGTTCTCGAGGCCAGGCATGGGATTTCCGGGCTCAGCAATGATAAACCACACCCTCGCATCAGTTATTCAGAGATACCACTAGATAACACCCACCACCATGAACGGCACCCATCCATGCAGAAGGGCGAACAACAATTCAGCTCTAGGCGCGAGTTCCTCTTGAGACGATACAACAAGTTTCGACATTGGGCCAGAATCGCGTCCGGCGTCACAAATGTTATTTCAGCCCTCTTCTCGGCCTCCATGGAGTCGATCATGATCTACACCATGTACAAATTCTACACAACGAAAGACCTCTTCGTCGAAGGTCGACCGTGGGGACCATGGGCGAAGGGGAGTGTCCTGTGGCCGACTTTCATGCTAGCTGTTGCATCAATCACCACTTCTCTCTTGGCATTGACAGTGCTGGTTGGTCTTTGGTGTCGACGCAAGCATAATGCAGCATTCTTCAGCCTTATCTATGCTGCCGGACATATCGTGGCATGGGTCATTGTTTCGGTAGTGTATAGGGTCGAGAAAACTGAAAAGGACTTGTGGGGCTGGAGTTGTACCGACAAAGCCAGAGCAATTCAACAACAACTCGACAGCAAGAAGCTGAACTTCGAGAGCTTGTGCAAGCTTCAGGTAAGTGTTATTCTCAGACCCAAAGCACCAATCATCCTCCCTCAACAAGTTGTTGGGGGGCATTAGTATCTGACACAGGATCTGCTCAGGCATCTTCTTGGGAAGTCTCAGTCGCCGAGGTAGTCATAAAGATACTTTCGACAGGTGTCTCCTGGTACGTCGATGGCAAGCAGAAAGGTTTGAAGATCGAGCTTGTCGGCGACATCGGCTCGGCAGGCTTCAATCAGGTCACCGGTTAAGCGTACGTATAGCGTCGTGGTGATGCTTATCGAAGGCCAGGCCCTCATGAAATTGCACCTGAACGGGCCGGTGGGCCAAGATAGCTTGTCAGAAGCAACATCTTCAGCCGAAGGGTGGCCAAGGGCTCCGTTGATCGGGGTGCCGAGCATGGATACGGGATACAGGTATGATTACCCGTGCCACTCTCGTATTGGCAACCACGAAAGGAGATGAGCATTTCTGGTTAGCTGAAGAACTGCCGAGTTCATTTCTAAGCATCGAGGTGGTATCGCGCGAAGCGAGACTTCTTGTGACTCCTTTTGCAAAGCATGTCGTAATGCTTGAAAGGCTAGTGCAAAGGAATGACAGCTATGTCGTTAAGCTGTTCCCTGACGACTACGAGTGAAGCACGCATCACTTTCCCTTTTCGATACAACATTGCTGCATTCAAAGAGTTGAATGACCCTGCCCTCTGAATAATAATGGACCAGTTCATTGTCAACGTCCTAATGTTTCCTTTGCTGTGAATCAGGCTAATACCCCACCATGCTCAAGGAAATAACGTTAAGGTTCAAGAACTTGGTCAGTGCATGCTATACGCCGAAGGGCTGGAGTCTCGACGCGAGAAGTCGTCTCCTTCGTGTATCGTCCAGCGCAGCATACAACTGAGGCAAACGGAGGAAACGACCCCTATGCTGAAAAACCATATGAAACGCGTCATGGTGCAAATCGTGCGAATGAATTGTACGGAATACTTAAAGAGCAATTCAGTTCCTGTTCAGAGCCCCAGAACGCATCGCATTATTCTCCCCCAAGCAAAGGCGCGAGACACCCGGCGACCGACAAGCCAAAGCCATGACCCCTAAGCTCTGGACGTCACCACTCTCGTGGAACTGCCTGCGACCGGAGCTCGTGCTGGCCGAGAAAGGCATCGACGACGTCGAAAGGATCCCTGCCGACCTCATCGGCGGGAAGCACAAGGCTAGTACACCGTCTCTGCCTCCAATATGGGGATCGGGAGTGTGTTGCTAACAAGGGGTGGTCGGAACAGACCGCAGATTTCCGCGAGAAGTCCATCTTTGGGAGGGTCCCACTGCTGGAGGACGGCGACGCGGCGATCTTCGAGTCTCGCGCGATCGCCCGCTATCTGTGCTTGAAGTATGCGGACGTCGGCCCGAAGCTGATGCCTGAGCGTGTCGATGCTGAGACAAGTGGCGTCTGGGAGATGTGGTTGGCCCTCGAGGCGATGGAGTTCGAGACCCACGTCGCGCCCGTCATCGCCGAGATGCTCATTCGACCGTACGTTCTCTCCTACTTATGTCCTCCCGCCAGAGAAAAAGGGGAGATGTGAGCAAGTACTGTATTGACACGACAGCAAAACAGCGCGTTGGGAAAGGAAAAAGACGAAGCCGTCCTCGCAAGACACGAGCCGAAACTCGCCAATAGCCTAGACGTGCTCGACAAGGCTCTGTCGAAGATGTCGTACATGGGAGGAGACAAGTACAGCCTCGTCGACATCTTCTACATGCCGTGCATCTTCACCGTGACGCGGTGCCTTGATCCTTTCGAGGGCAGACCCAATCTGAAGAGATGGTGGGAAACCGTCTCTGCTCGCGAGGCGTGGAAGAAGACGGTCAAGCCGCTTGATGATGGATATAGCCAGGCCATTCCGGGGTGGAACAAGTAGGCAGCGAGGAGGAGAGTCACGAAGTTCCCGACGCATGCCCGTTGTGCTCTTATTTGTGGAATGATATACGAATCAACACAAACTTGGAGGAAAAGGATTTCTCGACCTCGACAATTTCCATGCTCCTCCAGATCGGCGTTCTGACTCCTTGGCCCCTCCCGTTTCAGGGGGTTCTCGGGCAGCGGAAATTGCGCCAAATGACGTGTCTGCCATCGTCCGGTCCCTCCCCTCGTCCCAGACATTTTTCCCTCGACGAGTGTGTAATATCAACAGCTTTACGCCCTTTTTCCAAATCCGGAATTTTCCAACCCGCCCCGGACCAACTAAGCAAGTAATCATGGCCACGCAGCTTGGCGCTGACTTAATAGAGGCGATTAACGTCTTCGTCCGTCTATGTCCCTGCCTCGGGTATGTCTGGATTGGTCTGGGATCCTTGCTGATGTACGCCAAAGACCCAGCTCCTAGCCAGTTCCGTGCATGACCAGGACGAACATCACCCAATGATGGTCAAAACCAGCCATTCGCCGAACTTTTCGATTCAATTACTTCTTTTCTATTCATTTCTACCCAGTACGTATGTGGAGACGGTGATTATAATCCAGACAAACGTCAACTGTTTTCTCGTCCTGCCGAGTCCGGAGATGTCTGCTTAGAAACCAACAAGTGCGTTTGGAAATGATGGGATCTTGACAAAGAGGTCGAGAGATGGAGGGAACAGGTATATAAAGATGCAGACGGCACCTGGTGGTAGGCGGGACTCATCAATCGACCAAAGTCCTCAACGCACAGGTTTTCGATATCCATCTCATTGCATCGATAATAGCATACAACAAGGGTCTCCCAGGAGCCAACAGACAGGATCCTCTGCAAGATGTCATCGTCAGGTTACCTCAAGAACGTCATTATCTTCGGGGTATGTCCTGGGTGAAATCCTCCCAGTGTGTTGAAACTCCGATACTAACGATCGCAGGCCGGAGGCACAAACATCGGCCACCACGTCGTCAAGGCACTGACATCCAAGCCCGACCTTTTCAACGTTTCCATCATCGCTCGAAAGACTTCCAAATCGACGTTCCCAGAAGGTGTCGAGGTCCATTACGTCGACGACGGCTTGCCACACGATCAGCTCGTCAAAGCCATGCAAGGGCAGGACGCAGTCATCTCGGCCATTGGTTTCGGCGCCATCGTCCTGGAGGAGAAGCTCGTAGACGCAGCGGTTGAAGCGAAAGTCAAGCGCTTCCTACCCTCGGAGTACGGTGTCAACAACACTAATCCTCCGGCACGGGCCCTGTGTCCCGTGTTTGACGCAAAGGGCGCCATCATCGAGTACCTGAAGCAGAAGGAGTCGAGCGGGTTGTCGTGGACCGCCGTCCCGACGGGCCTGTGGCTGGACTGGTACATAAAGCTCCCCATCCCTCCCCGCATCCGCCATATCATATGTGCCGCTGACGGGAAGATTACTTCCAACTACACAGGTCCCTCGAGCCGGCCATCAGCTTCGCAGACATCAACGTCAAGGCGCACACAGCGCGCCTGTGGCAAGACGGCACCCACAAGCTCTCGTGGTCGACGTTGCCGTGGGCCGCCGAGGGCATCGCTCAGATCCTCCTCGCACCCTCCGAAACCACCGCCAACAAAGTCGTGCCCCTCCACGGCCTGTCGGCCTCGCAGAACGACATCGTCGCCGCGCTCGAGCACCTCCAGGGCACAAAATACACCATCACACACTTCGACGCGGACGCCGTGATTGCCAGCGCCCAGCGCTCGTGGCGCGAGAATAAGGACACGGACTCCGCCCTAGCGCTGGTCAAGGCGGGATTCTTCCTCGACGGGTACGGGAGTGACTTTGTCAACGAGGCCATCACGCCGAGCGGGAACGAGTTCCTGGACCTGCCCCCATTGGAGCCATTCGAGGAGATTGTCGGTGAGGCGGTGAGGCGGTTTGCGTAGCGCATCCAAGCTTGGTCTTTCCACGGTTTAAATACTAAATAGGGGGGCGACGGCCTTGTCAATACACAGATCTCGCCTGACGTGCAAATCTCTTGGATTATGCTATTTACCTTTCTTGACAAGTTCTGACTCCTTCCTCCGCTCGACCGGCCAGCAGGACGTCCAAGGTCAGAAAGAGTACATCCGTTACACTTCCCCAGGTAGGTCCCACCCACGTCAGAGAGGACTTGTATTTTACAACACATGCGTCCCTCAGAACCACCGCCGCGGCGGACTACCCAGGATTTCATTTCAAGATCGGATGTCTCAATCCCAGTCCCAGTTCCACTCCAGTCCTATGCAGTCCCAGCCTAGTCTTCCAGTCACCCACCATCAGTCCGCGACCTTCTCCTCATGCCGCACGCTCACGCTGCCGGGACCCCCTCTTTTGATTTCCGCCTCGGCCGCGATCTCGTGCAGCCTGTTCTCCAAGTCGTGGCTGGCGTAGCTTTCGCGGGTGGAGCCGACGACGATCCATGGCGCGTGCTCGAACAGGTAGTTCATCTCCTCGAGCGGGCGGCGCGCGGTCTCGGGCAGCAAAAGCCAGAAAAAGACGGCGTTGGTGAAGTTGCAGATGATGAAGAGGTAGTAGAACCGGTACCCGATGTTGGTCATTGCGATGGGTGTCACTTGGCCCTACACGCACTGTTGTTAGCTTCTTGTATGATGGATGCTCCTCGATGTGCGGTGGGCTGCTGGAAAGGGAAGGGGAAGGAAAAGACGTACAATCATCGTGTTGAAGGCGAAGCTGGTCATTGTGGCGATGCTCACGCCCTTGCTTCGGCTGTATATAGATATTCATATTAGCTCTGCGGTAACATTGTGGATCGAGGACCTCTAGATTGCCTCTGATCATGTGCGGGGATGAGAGAGAAACTCACGTTCTAGTATCGAACACCTCCGCCGGTATGATCCAAGACAATGGACCGCAAGTCGCACTGAACGAGAAGTTGTACAGCCACGTCATGATGATAAACCCCCACTGGGCCCCAGTGTTGGTCGAGACTCCCGGAGGGTACTTTGCGAGCAGGATGGTGGCGATGATGAACGTTACCATGTTCCCCAGGTTGCCGTAGATCAAGGGCCAGCGACGGCCGGTGTGATCGATGCAGAGGATGCACAAGAACTGTGCAACCAATGCGATGATGCTGTTGATGCCCTGGTATTTGAGGGTGTCGTTGCCAGAGATCCCTGCAGGCAGGTTAGTCACACATTAAAAGCCACAACTTTGCGGGAAAGGAGACAACGTGCCTATCTGTCCATAGATCGTGACTGAATAATATTGTATGGCGGACACGCCCGTCATTTGGATACTGGCCTGCAACGCACAGCAAAGGAAAAGGCGACGGAAGGCAGATCGAGACTTGAAGAGTTCGAGATAGGATTTTGCTTCGTATTGGTGTTCGTGGGCAATCGAGGCCTGAACTTGCTCGTATTCAGCTATAACCCAGGGGTCCTTTTCGTCACCATGAGCATGTAGCTGGGCCAAGACCTTCAATGCTTGGTCTGGTTTGTCGTGGTCCATGAGCCATCTGTTATTTGAAAGAGTTAGGTAAAATGGAAGGACAATGTTGAGAAGCTGACCATACCTGGGAGACTCTGGGAAAAGAAATATCAACAAGCCAAGGAAGATTGCAGGTATAATCTGCAGACCTAGAGGAACTCGCCATTGGGCGCTGCTGCTCTTGATATGGACATACTGGAGGACATTTGTTAGCTTTGTGCCATCATTGACGAAGTAATCTTGGGAGTGTTCCAGCGACAAAGCGGACGTACCGTTGCCCACGAGATCCACGAAGCCACAAGCGCTCCCACGCCGAGCATGAATTGCTGCAAGGCAGTGATGCGGCCCCGAATGCTGGGATGGGCCAGTTCAGCTTGATAGAGAGGAATAATCATGACGAGGAAGCCCACACCAAGTCCAGCAAGAAAGCGGCCTGACCAGAGGTAGCTGATGTTCTCTGCACCTGTCTGCAGCCCGCCACCAAGACAAAAGATCACTGCTCCGAGAACAATGGTCCATCGACGGCCGAGATAGTCGCCACTGGGGCCCGCCAACGCCGCCCCGAAGAATGCCCCGGTCGTGAACATGGAGACGACCAGGCCTGATTGAGTGTCGTCCGCTGCGAATTTAGCCTTGAAGGTATTGCTGGCCACAACTTCTGCGATGACACCGAGGTCGTAGCCGAACAGGTATGAGCCCAGTGAGGCGAAGACGCCGATGAGGAACTGATACCATTTCGGGGGTAGAGCCATGATGGGCAGCGACCTGCTGAGATGCAGTGGTAGAACAGGAACGGGCACAGAGGAGGTGATGAGAGTGTCTGGGAGACCTGCGACAGGGCCTACCTTGAAGACAGGAGAGAATTCAAATAGATCGATGGAGTCGAAGAGCAATATATGAATGTGGATACCCTCCTTCGTAGAGTCTGAACGCCTTCCCCGTACTGGGAGGGTGTAATGGCCGGAGCAACTCACCACCACCTCGTGATGGCTGGCATCATCCCGCAGTTTTTCCCAGTCGAGACAAGACGCAGGGTCCCCGCAGACGTTGCGTCTAGCGAACCCAGAAAAACATGGGATGGCAAGATGGATTGCGGAGATGCATGACACCATCCACACAGACTGGAATCTTGCTGTCGCTGCCAATTTTCGAGGATGCCGAAGGTTTCGTCAACGCCTTTGTGCCGGGAAGATGGCGCTCCCTGCTGTGGGAGACGAAGCTCCGGCGGGAGGAGGCGAATGTCCCAGAATGGAAGTTCCCCGGTGGCATCGTCTTGGTCTTCGCGGACGGGCTCCTCGTGTCCCTTGACGTTGCTGAGGTGCCGGATAATAGCAAATAGCTCGCGTGGGCGTCAAGTACTACTGGTAGGACTTTCAGTCGAGACACCCTCCCACTAGACCCAAGTGCTTCTTTTAACCGCTTTTTCGCCATATGGGGCTCAAGTGGCGGACTTCTGCCGTCCACGGTGGAATTTCTCACGCAGGCAGTTCATGCCACTCGGATTGAGAGAGCCAACATGAATGCATTACATACCAGGTTGCGAAATCCTGAGTCCCCAGTCACATGATAATTGAGCTCATTCTTCCATTTATGAAGTACTGAGCGCCCGTGGTACTGGATGGTGAACTCTTGGTCATTGAAATTGGCCATAGAGACGTAGTTGTCAGGTGCCAGACCGCCTTGGCTACACAGGTCCAACATGGCAACAATCGTGGCTGAAATGGCAACGCCATCGATAACGGTGTTTCCTACCCGCAAGGTCTCCAAGATCAACCGGAATATCTATTCGGGCTTCACAGAGCACATGGGCCGCTGCATATACGGCGGGATTTACGACCCATCAAACTCAAACAGGGACTTGGTCGACTCGGAAGGGTTTCGAAAAGACGTGATTGATGCCCTGAAGCCGCTCGGCATCCCAGTCTTTCGCTATCCAGGGGGGAATTTCTGCGCTACGTACCACTGGCAAGACGGGATAGGGCCGAGAGACCAGCGGCCTTCGAGGCCAGATTTAGCATGGGACAATGTCGAAACGAACCAATTCGGCACAGACGAATTCATGGCATGGTGCAGGGCTGTCAACGCCGAGCCGTATCTTTGTCTGAACTTCGGGACCGGGACACTCGACGAGGCAATGGCATGGGTGGAATACTGCAACGGCACCAAAGACACCTACTATGCGAACCTGCGACGGAAACACGGTCATCCAGAACCGTACAACGTCAAGTACTGGGCGTTGGGGAACGAGATGTGGGGGCCCTGGCAGGTCAACCAGATGACCCAGGAAGCGTACGCGGAGCGGGCTCTTCAATGGGCAAAGGCGCTCAAACTCCTCGATCCGACCATTCAACTTGTCCTCTGTGGCAAAGAGGGCGCCACGACGTGGGACTATTACACCCTGAAACACTGCTTGCAGCCGGCAGGCCTGAGCGATCTGGGCGAGGAGCGCGTGCCGCTGATCGACATGCACAGCATCCACCTGTACACCGCGAGCGATGACCACTACGAGAACGTGACCGCGCCGCTTGCAGCGGAGCGCAGCATTGAAGTCTGCTCGAGCCTGATCGACCTCGCCATGGTCGAGAACAAGATCCCTCCCACGCAGAAAAGACCAATGATCTGCTTCGACGAGTGGAACGTGTGGCTGCCCACCCGTGCTGTGGGAAGCCAAGGTGCCGAGGAGACATACACCCTCTCGGACGCGTTGGCCGTCGCGGTGTGGCTAAACGTGCTGGTCCGCCAGTCCAAAGACGTGGGCATGGCATGTATCGCCCAGAGCGTCAACGTCATCAGTCCCCTGATGACCACGGAGAAGGGCATCATCAGGCAGACGACGTGGTGGCCGTATGAGCTGTTTTGCAGGTTCATGAAGGGCCATCAGATCGCTGTCCACTTGGAATGCGAGTCGTACACAGGACCAACGAGGCCGGACTGGGTGAGGGGCCTCAAAGTCACTCCGTGGTTAGACGTCAGCGCTACGCTCGACGACGGGGGTTGGGTCAGTGTCTGCGTGGTCAACATCCACGCAGAGCATGATTTGAAGACGACCCTCAAAGGCCTGGAGGCGTCCAAGGCCGAGGTCTACACAGTCACCGGCGCAAATCTCAAGGTCACAAACATGGCTGGCAAGGAGGAAGTCGGGCTGCAGAAGTCGGAATGGGATCCGAGCAAGGCCTCGACATTCGTCTTTCCAAGGAGTTCCATCACGATGCTGAGATGGAAAAGCTCGTAGCTAGACGGATGTTGAGGTCGAGAGCGAGCAGAGTCTGGCGATTCCTGTTCCATGGCTTCCATACGCTGTGAATATACAATAGAAGGGATCATAGGTTGTGCTTGCAAATTAAAACCTTAGGACACGATTTTACCCAAGCTGAAACTCACTGTCCCTATCCAACACAATCAACGCGCCCATTGCTTCCGTGAGCGGTAGAGCGTCCTCAAATTTCAACTAGCTTTTCTCAGTTCTGCCAACTTCATCAAGATGTCGTAATACTCTCGACTGACGCCCCAACACGCGAGTCTCGTTCTTAGCAATTTTGCCCCCTCTAGCAGGACTTTCTGTGGCGCCTTGCAGATGTCCCCCACATTCGTCATGTGGCCGGACATGGTGTGGCCGTTGCGCACAAAGTGTTGCACCATCTCGTCGTCGCAGGGACGGTCCAAGTGAATGAACTCGGGTTGCTCGTCCGAGGAGGAAGTATCCTCTGTTTCCGAGTCTGATCTGGGTGCTGGCGGAGGGAACGATCTCGAGCGAGCCGTCGTACCTTCTAGCGCGGCAGAGGCGGATTTGTTTTCAGAGGAATATTGATCAGTCGGAGACTCCGGAGATGCGGAATGCTGCGGGACCGATGGGCCAGCTGCGTTCAACGGCCGTCCGTTGGCCTTGCTGATGAATTTGATGGGACGTTCCTTCCTCTCCATGCGAGAGGGCTGAATGGGAGCACCCGCGTCTGGTCCACTCGGGCCGCCTTCGGGTTTCTGGCTGGCAGCAGTAGCGTCACGTTCCAAGGCAATCGACTTGTAGGAGCCATATGTCCAGAGCACCAGGCTAGCCAGATAAACGGCAATCGGCTCGAAGAAGCTCATGGCGGAATATCGACGGACATACCAGAAGACCGACCCGGCATGAACCATGGCAAGACGAGCCTTGTGCTGATCCTCTCGTAGCCATCGCCACGTTATCTTGCGGATCTGAGGCAGTTTGGCGCTGTTGCGTGGCTGATAGCTGCCATCATGTACGTAGAATGACGCCTTGGGACAGTTCCCGATCTTACCGATCAGAGAAAACAACAAGTCTTGTATCTCTTGGAAGGGTGTTAGAAGGACGATACGGGCGAGGTGAAGATGGAGGATGACCCCGTGTTCCAGGCCTGAGGCCTTTGCAACAATGCTCGAGGCTTGCCAATGAAGCACATCAAGGCAATCGCAGGCGCTGTTGCGCCAGTTGGCGTAAAGAGGGTAGAGCGGAAGCCAGAAGTTGTCCTTTGATGGTGTGTTCAAGAAGCCTCGAGCCTTGCCAGTTGGGACCCATTCGCTTAGCGGCTGTTTGATGTGTGTGCCGACCTCCCAGGTTCTTTGATAAAGAGCGTGTATCAGCAAGGTCTGTGATAATTCGCTATACTCCGGGTTGACTTGCTTCTTGCTGTAGAGCGTCTCGAGGGCTCCACAGAGGGAGGGCGTCTCCGATAGCTCCTGCGTTCTGTCGACCCAGAGCTCTGGAGTTGAGGCGCTCCAAATGGATTCGGAACAGGGTAGAGGAGTTCTTGCATCGTCCATATTGCAAAGCGGTCGTGCATTGGCCATGTAGCCAAGGCAACAATCAAGCATCCAAGCCACATAACCCACGCGCCGCAAAGACTCGATCCTGATCCATCTCTCCCAACATTGCAAGCGATCTTGGAAACCCTCATTCCATTCACCGTCTGACAGGTCGCCTTTCACAGACAGCTGCAATACCCCAGACTCTAGACACCACCGCGAGAGATCTGCATGATAGCGGTGCGACAAGGCTCGCAGCTGCTCGCGGTCCGATTGAACCAAGCCGATAAGGTTCAAGATGCGAGCTTGGGCCAGCGGGAGCTCCAATGTAGTGTCTGGTATTCCATCTGCGCGGCGGTCGACAGCTCGGCGCAGGAATTCTTGGAAGGCTTCTCGAATATCCAGAAGGTTAGAGAATTTGGCGAAGGAACTGCCGATTGCCGCAACAGCAAGGACAACTATCCAATCAGATTGAGGCCCAAAGGAAACTTGGTGTAGCAAAGGAAGATTTTTGTGGAAGTTCTCGAAATAAAGGCCAATGCAAATATTGAGTATATTCAAAGGTGGAAAGGCAGAGGTCTGAAATGCTGATGGCGACGTCGTCTCAACACAAAAATTTCGAAAACCACTCAAGATCGTTTCATAAGTGGCACTGGAACAGTATTCTACCACGGTGTTCGCTGATATCGAGCTCCAAGAGTCCTCTGCATCTGGAAACGCGTAACCGGTCCTCTGGATTCTTGGTTGGATAAAAATCTCGGGCAGGAGAGACGTTTTCCTTTTCTTGCGCTTCAAGTCAGAACTTGTGGAGCTTCCGTGAACTGACTTGGGCATGTGTGCGCCATCACTTGTTGAAGACGCAGGGCTTTGTTCAATGGCCACGAATGGAGCAGGAAACCCTTGAGTCTCGGGCACTTCGTGGGTCACATCTTTACCGGCCGGATAGGTATGTGCAGGTGGGTTGATTGAGAAGTCCACACCGTAGTCAGCGTCTAGGTTATTGGATAGTGTCGGGAGAATGAAAGAGAAGTCCTGTTCAAGCTCCGCATCGTATGGGGATGGGTAAATGCTGGGAGGAATCCAATTCAAAGGTTCATCAAACGAGTTATACTCGAATGCCGCAGCGGGCTCAACAAATCCAGTACTGAACTGAGAGGACAGGTAATCATTCCTAAAATGGTCGTGCTGCAGCATCTGATTTGTACTGGCATTCAACGCACCAAGACTCGACCTCGGTTGTCTGTCTTGACTTAACGGGTGGTCTCCCAACTCGTAGTCCGACGATATAGTGGCTTGTTCATTGTCAGCGGCGCCTGGGAAAGCTGCTGAGGTGGATAATGCGCCGGCACCCGTATGGGCATCTGAGGAGAGCTGATCCCGCCCATTAGCAGCGAAAGCCAGCTCGTTGAAATGTTGTTTTGGAGCATCGTCCTCTCTCGTCTTCGCAGAATCGGTCGACAATGACGTTTTCCGACGTTTGTTTGGATAAACACACTCGATTTGGCGAAGGTTGCACCTGCCGCAAGGCGATCCGCCTGAGCACCTGGATCTGGCTCCTGCGCAGGCGTGGCACGCTCGAAATGTCCCCGTAGTGACCCGGTGAACTGGTCCTCGATCTGCTGTGGAGTGATGGCTTTTCTCATGCCGAAGCAGCGTATCAGAGCGTGCAAACGTCTTGCCACAAAAGCTACATGCTGCAGATCTTTCAGTGGATTTTCCTCCCACCTTCCCCTTCATATCTGCGACAAGACTGCATTGGTGTGAGGTTCGTATTGTCTGTCAAGCAGAGGGGAAGAGAAGCTTGCAAAGGTCGAGTTGAAGTCCAGGCCTCGGCAGAGCTTCCTATCCTGCTAAATGCAGGGAATTAGCAGCTTGGCTATTGCAGCTAGCGGCGCTAGTCAGCGTTAGTGGAACTTTGCGTTTCGTCATTTTAATGCCGAAATTACGAAATTAAGTGCGGGGTTATGTCACGTGATCTAAATGCCATTCTGGCTGTCTATCACTGAATATACTCCGTTATACACCTGAAATCAGCCTCGATCGAGGGTAAAATTCATCAACACAAGAGAAGAGAAGGGAGGTGAGGTGTGATCGGCGAAAATCCGCCTGGCTATCCAGATGTGGTTCTGCTCAAGCTCTGCCCTGCCGGCTCGGGCCCTCGTCAAGGGTCTGCATGGGGCGCCTTAGGCTTCAAGCTCGTTTCAGCCTATGCCTATTGTCTGTCTAAGACCTGCAGGACGCGAGATTTCGGCCCCAGTTCGCCAGCCTGATCAAAAGAATTAAAAGACCGAATGTCCCTTGGCCATGGACTTGTTCTTCTCACCGTCCTGAACCAAGAAGATGGCAGACCGAAGGCAAGGCGAGAAACCTGCATATGCCGTGGAAACGAGAGGTCCTCTGCTGAACACAGGCTCCGACAGTGACAGTGCGCCGCCTAAATACTCCAAAAGTGCTCGGCGGCTGTTGTCTGTCAGTGTTATTGCAGAAGGCTTGCTGGATTTACTCCTCGCTCTCTGCTGCGCCTACTTCGTCATATTCGCTGCTCTTGTCTATTCCAGGCGCGATCAGGCTGTCAACCGACCAGGCAATCAGGACTTGCTTGAAGCCGCCAAATATGTGAGTTCGACTATCGGCACTCTTCCAACTTTGCCGTTTTAGACGCTCATCATGATTCATGACAATGCTAACGAAGTCCAGTCTCCCACCATCTTCCCCATCTTATTTTCTGCAGTTGTTGCCAAATTTCTAAGAGCAGTTGCGGCTGTCAAACTCGAACAGGGAACCTCCGTCCTCGCGCTTGAATATCTCCTGCAGTGCCGTACCGTCTTCAGTACTTTCATAGCACCAGTCACTTTGAAGACCGTCAATGTCCTTACACCACTTCTCTTTCTCCTTTGGGCACTCTCCCCTCTGGGTGGCCAAGCCGGGCTACGGGTGATATCTACAAAGGAATCTTTTTTGAACGCGACACAGAATTTTACATATCTCGCCTTTGTATCTGAATTTACGAACGAAGGTATCAATTCGCCCTCAGCAGAGCCACTTATCCCGATTAATGCCATCTTCACCTCTGCTATCATCGGCTCGTCGAAGGCAAAAAATTCGTCCCAAGACCCATTCGGTAATGTCAAAATACCCATCTATGAAAGCCTACCTTTGTCGTCATCCGAGGACGACTCAGACTGGAGGTCCGTTCCAGACTCGGGTGACGTCGAATGGAGCTCTCTCACGGGCCTGCCCCTGCACAACCTACCGTCAGCGGGAGTCTCACGGTTCACGATGAACACTGGTTATATGGTGACAAGCTGCAATGTTTCGGGCCACGACTGGACTCAAGCGTACAGACAAAGCCTTGAGCAATATGTAGGCTGGAGCGGTGCGAACTATGCCCTCACTCCGAACAGGCACGACCAGTTCGCGGTAACAAACTTCACTTTCCGGTCTCTTGATATAAACGGCGATAGTTCGACGGAGGGAAAGATTCTCACTGTCGCAAACTGCACTGTCGGTATGAGGTACGTGGAAGTGCAAATCAAATGCGACGGTCAAATCTGTCAAAGCGTTGCTGCTCGACCTGCCAAAAACCCTGCCACGCACAAACAAAAGTACAACGTTAGTCCCCTTAATGCCACCGACTGGACACCGATCAATGGCCTTGGCCAAGCAGATATCATGTATACCTATTTCTTCCCGGACTTCACCAACGCAACCAACCCGACAGTGGGCTGTGATACCGTATTCTGTCCTCCAAGTGCCATAGAAGCGTACTTGGTGGACCCAGCCAATCCTCTATTGCAGACTTCCACCAGCAAGATCTGGAAGCTCGGAAACGATCTTGTCTCCCAACGGTTCACGCAACTCATCAATACTTACTGGATTGACAGCATCGCCCCAGCTGCAGTCCTGGGAAACTTCAGCTTGGCCACCAGCGACGTGGGCACCACATCGCAGTACAACATGGATAGCACGATTGGCACAATCACGACCAGCGAGATTGTTGTCAAGTGCGACTACAAGTGGCTCGTTATCCTGCTCGTCTGCTCTATTGTGCTGTTCATACTCGGCCTGGCCACGGTAGTGCTGACGGCGTATCGGCGTGGGCCTGACTTGTTGGACAGGTTCAGCTCGCTTCTGAGGGACAATCCGTACGCCAATATTCCTCATAAGTCGTCGATGGAGAACGCCGCGGAGCAGTCGAAGCGACTGGGTAATCTGATGGTTCGGCTCGGCGATGTTCGTCCCGAGGACGATGTTGGGTATGTTGCAATAGGCGTACTTGGTGGCAATCACGCAGTGCAGAAAATGAGCCGGAGGAGGAAGTATGCTTGATTAACGAGGGTGTAAAAAGGGGCGCAAACCCCCGCGATAGCTCGGAGCAGCTTGCTTCCAAATTGATTCCTTCTCAAGACTGGGCTCGGGAGCCTGAACATTACTTCTGCCGTACGTGCCTATTATCGAGCGTGTATAAATATGGCTTGTTCAATATAACCAACCAATCTTGATGAGGATGAACCAAAGCATCAAATTCCATCCGTCATTCAATCGACCCCACCATCTCGTAAGTCGCGCGTGCTCCGAGATGGACTTTCCTTAACCCAGGCTGTCTTTACCGACAGCGCCATACCATGCCAGACCCAACAGCCCTCCCAAGACAATGGCCGGAGCGGCGGGGATGTCGAACCAGGCCGACTCGGAATAGGTCAGGACTGCAATTACAACCCACCATGGTTCCTTTGCCAGACTCTGGCCCTGGGTCGCCTGCGGGGTCACGTAGCCGATTTCCCACAAGCGATACACTGCCGTGAAAACCAGCCCGACCGCCGTTGCATTGACTCCTCGAAGGAGGCTGACCACCCCTGGCTTTGTCCGAAGAACTCGCCAAATGCCCTGGACTCCCACGGCAAGTGCGATGCCCGGCAGAAAGATGCCGATGTACCCCATCAGAGCGCCCAGGATCGTGGGTTGAGACGTGCCCAGCAGCGCCAACGCGCCGAGATAGACGCTGAAGTTGAAATTCGGGCCCGGGAACGCCTGGATGATGGCCAGGCCGATGAGGAAGTCTCTCGACGAGACCCAACCTGGCTGCACCACATATTCTCGGAGGAGTGGGATCACGACGGGACCTCCGCCGAAAATAATTGTCCCGGCAAGGTACATGTTTGCGAATAGGTCGAGCAGCCGTGGAGGTGACTTAACGACACCACGCGCGACAAGAACCGCGATAAATGACGCTGGAGACCCAAGTCAGAAGAAAAGGCTGACGACAGGAGTGAGGCAGGGGGGGCGGAGTGTGAGGGAAGAGCCATACCAAAGAAGACGGCGATAATTAGCAGTCCTGTGGGTACCGAGATCCCATGTGATCGCATATCCGTAGAAGGAGCTGCTGCATCGGGCGCGAGAGGAGCAGAGGTCGAAGCATCGCCAGCCTTTGACGGTGCTGCATTCGCTGATGGGACAACTGTGACTCCAGTTCTTCTCTGCACAGTATTCGAGCTCTCACTTTGCGCAGGTCTCAACTCAATGCTCTGACCGCCGTCGTTGCCAGTTTCCTCCACTGCACCCTCTTGCCGTGACCTCCTCTCCTTTAATCTCCGTCTGAATCGAGCCATTGCTTGTCGAAGTCGAGTATCCCAGATCGCCGTCACGATGCCTCCACCCAGGATGAGGACGGGGAAATACCACAGGGCATTATAACAAAGGCCGGCGCAGGCGCCGAAGATGACGAGAATTCTCGACAACTTGTCCTTGATGGCTTTGTCTGCGAGCTGTACTCCGCCAGGTCAGCGGCATACGGGGGGTCGCGCAAAAAGGAGAGAATGAATTCGCACCTGAACGGCAGCAAGGGCGACGATTCCGACGGTTGAGGAATTCAACCCGGACAAGAACGCGCAGGCTGCACCTGGGAGAACGGTGTTGATGTGTTGGACCCCGAGGGACAATCCATACATAGCGATCGCCCCGGGAAGGCTGCGCCACAATTTAATTTAAGTCATGCCGGCCTTTTGTGACTTCATGCCTCTACCTACCTCCAAGTCAGGAACACAAAAAATGCCGGTATAACCCCGGCATGGATGAGCGCCATGCAAAAAAGCATTTTGGTACTCCCTGGGCCCGGAAGAGCCTGGCAGATGGCGAAAAGCTCTTGGTACTGTGACGGACACGAATGAGTGGGAGGAGACGCACTGATAGAGGTTCCAAGGACATGTCCTACCGTCTGTTCATCGATCCATGGGACCAGACCTCCGCGCCCTTCTACGAATCGCCTGTGCAGAATCTGGAAATGCACGGGAGGCCCTCCAAAGGCCGTGAAACCAAGGTCGCAGGTGCGCCAGAAGACGTCGGCAAATCTCAGGAGGAGCTTCTGGTTGTTTGCCTGCAGGGCATTCTGTCGATCTCGAGTGTATTGGTGAATCGCTTTGAGAGTTTCCAGCAGTGGCATTTTGGCTCTTTCGCGGGGTGTTTTCTCCCCGCGACCATTGAAGGTTCTGGTAAAAAGGAATAAAAAGATATGAACAAGGACAAAAAGGAAAACGAAGATTGATGATGCTGGGCGTCAGAAGCTTCAAATTTCTCAAGCTTTGTCCAATGAGCTGCGGCAGGCAAGTCACCGACTCACCGGCCACCAAGATCGATCAACGGCGCCACGACGCCGGTACTTAGTAATTACTACGAGGTCCAAAGTGCATTAGTAGTATCTAGGGCTAGTGAACGAAAAACCTTATTGCTTGATACGAGTTCATCCTAGAAGATGAGTGAAGCCAGCTTGGACCCGAGCTTTAAATAAGGTGTTGACTACTCCTCACTGAGCACTCCGAGGGCAGCACGCTGAGCTACAAGGAGGGGCCACCAACCCAGCCCAAGCCGGCCCCCGAGCGATCGGCTATTAACATCTAGACGCCTTCCTAGTAGAGGAAGGCGGAAGGTCGGCGGCAGAATATCGCAGGAGCGCAAACGGCTATAGTTTGCCCAGTGCATGAGTTGTCCTCTTCACCAGAGGCTGATGCTAGTATTGCAGGGGCGAGGGTGTTACGAAAGGCTTTGGAAACGCCAAAACCTGACTGAGGTTTCAAGGAGGTATTCTCGATAGATGTCCCGGATGGCAGCGATCGGAGGAAGGCGTTGTTTTGAGATGGCCATTGCCATCCGTTATTTGCCTACCTAGGGCCTTTGGAGCAGAGGTTGTCAGACAATCCCACTATATAGTACTTCTATGTTCCTATTTCCGCTGCGCTGAGTACGCTGAGCACAATATAGATTCAAGGGACAGTTCTCGCGCCTCTTTTCCCTACGGATTGCGTTGCATCATACTGCTTCTCTGCCACGGGGTTTCTCAGTTTAAATTTCTAGCTGAGCGGCCGTCCTTGAATGTCAGCCGTTGATGTCACCAGTAGTAGCTTCACACTGGAAAGAAATACTAGTAGTCCGTAATGCAAGAGAAGACAGCCATATCGCCTCCAACCAGATTTCCTTCGAAAGGGGAAGTTTACTATACTCCAGCGTACTAGTAATTCCATCTGGCTGAATCTCATCACGGATCCTGTCCATTCGATTCCGCGCATAGCCACCCTCCTCCTTCACGTCCTAGCTAAGGTCTGAATTGTACGCAACTTCGATTCTTCTCAGCGCCGCCTTCCTCGCTATGGCTGTTTTCGCTGACCCTGTTGACCAGTCTTCTTCCTTGTTCCCAAACTCTGTCCAGGATTCGGGCTGCTGGGTTATAAACACTGAAATCCCACCCGAAAGTCTCTGCTCTCCTATCCTCATTGATTGGACATGAAACACCCAATTCATGAGATTTTCTGAGCGTCGGGATGTCGATGTTCTGTATAATCAGGGCCAGATAAAGACCAGACCCGCCATCAATGGAAAAGTGTTCGATTTCACGCATGTCCTGAACGGCGGTCTGAAGACAGGCGTGATAATATGCTCATTCGCAAATCCACAGTGGATTTCCAGACGTCGCTAGTGAACCAAGAGAAAAATTCATTTGCGATGGAAAAAACTTTCTGTGTGGCTTCGGACATGTAGAACCTCAATATCAATACTAAGAACCCGACAATGTTGCGAGAGTGAGGGATCCTTCTTGAGGCGGCGATGTAGGGATTTCACCGCCTTGGTTGGAGGCACGGATCGGTTTGGATAAGGAAAGCGAATAATGCGATAGAAGAGGGGGAAGTCCGGTACGGCTGAAGTGACATCAAGTAAACAGCAGCGACTTTATACCGGCGTAGTCGTTATCGTATCTCCTCACTGCCAGATGGCCATAGCGACAGCGAAATGCCATCTCATGGCCATAACCATACATATAATAACAAATCAAGTATTGAAAGCACATAACTCCCATTGAACTTGCTCTAGACCGAGTCTGGTCAGCGATCTAAGCACTGGTTAGAGATCGATTCGAAATCGAGTCCAGACCGATTCCAGATCCTTGAATCGGGCTAACTCACTTTAAATCGGTCTGATACTAATTTGAACTGGTCCAAAATCGATCTGGAACCAATTTAAGCCAGAGTCGATTCGATTTAAACTCGATCTTAAATCGATTTCGAACCGGTTTAATACCTATGGGGAAGGCGGGCTAGTGCTAGATACTAGTAGTACAGAGCGCAGAAGCAGATCATCACCCTTCCTCAACGATCAAATCCTCGAGGCCAGAATTCGGGAATCTCAGAGACCATCTTTATCGAGAGCGCCGCGCCATTAAATGGATAGGGCTCATCGAAGAACACTATTAGTATCCTCCCGCAACCGGATATTAGTAGATTTAGATGAAGAATGAAATTGAAGCCTAACTGAGTCGAGCCCACTTCATAGTACTACCTAGCTTCACCATTTTCCCAAGGTAACTGAAGTATGATTTCTAGTACCTTGAGCATGATGAGCCGCATGTCAATTCAATATTTATTTATGTTTGTGTGGGAACGAATGTTGGGATGAGATTCTCAATAACACCGTTCTGAAGTATATCAGCAATGAGCCCGAAGGACCATTCGACACTATTATTTGTCGGGTCGAGGACCTCCAAGATGATTAGTACTAGGTAGCGCTAGTATTATACCAGTATACTGCGGTCCGGACGAGAGATAGTGAGCCTGCTAGGAGAGAACATTGAGTCCCTCCTTTGAATCTTCTTCAACGTCCAACAAATCCCTCTTAGTGTACTTTCCATGCCTAGCGCTAGAGGATTGATTGTAGAAACGATCTTAAGTAAATCTATAGATCTCTTGAAAAAGAAACGGCGGGGGTTCGATTCTTGTCGAGGATATTTTTTTCTTTCTTTCTCTTATCGATTAGGATTACTCTATCCCAGTATTCTCCCATTTAATTTATAACACTAGTACTTTTTATAAATTAGTATGTACTTTACTAAAGAAAGTACTTCGTAAATGGTGTCGTCGTTGCTTCGATCCTTTATTGATTTTCGATCCTTAATCTACAACTCTAAGATATCTAAGGGATTCCAAAAGTGCTAGTAATATTTGCCATGAAGTGATACTATTCGATACTACTTTCAAACCCCCCCCACCCTGGGGGGAAGGGCTTTTAGTATCCTGTCTTTCGACAGTATCCGAGATGTCTCTGAGAATTCTTTCCTACGTTAAATCGATCAAAATCTCGCGGTTTAGAGAAGTTTAGAGAAGTCTCGGATACTGTCAAAAGACAGGATAAGACCTCGTACATAGAACTATACTAGTATCATCTTACTACGTGCAAGGGGATCCTCTGAGAATGGCTTTATATTGCCTTTACTATTGGGATATATCTATAAACGCGGCATTAAAATCACCGAATAAGGTTTAGCCAATTCAGAGCAATTGCCCTGCTGAATTAGTGTGGTACGGCAACTTCCATGTCACGTGGTATGCATCGGCGTGTACATATTCCGTGGCCTTGGCAAATATCCCAGCACAAGCATTGCCCATCTTCCCCTCCTTTTTTCTTCCACAAACTTCTCTGCTTCCCACCGCCATGATTGGGGTTACCAGCCATTTTCTCCGCAAGCGAGGACGGCCATCCTCCCCGACTTTCCCAAGCTCTGCCAACCTCTTATTCGCCAACCTCGCATCATGCGTCTGCGCTAGAGCATCGGGTGCCTGAGACATCGACATTCTCTCGCTTCTTATTTGCTCATCCTCGTGGCTTGCAGGAACACAAGCTGAATCCGGGAGAACAAGCAGTCGAACACCTTCCTAGGACAAGATTCTGGCCAGACCTTTTCTCCCTCAACTTCCCACTCCCAATGAGGCAGCTCCAACATCAATGGACGGACATGCAACCTATCAGCTGTCAAATGATGCGCAACAGCTATAAAGCTTGGAACAAGCTCCTCCCCCCGTTGTGACCTCTTCTCCCTGATCTCCTCACTCTTGCTATTTTCAGTCTCACTACTCGTACTCTGAGCACTCGCTACCTCAAGATTCTACGATCCCACACTCGCTGCTTGACTGCGACTGCGTTTTCTAAACATAGACGAAACGCCTCGCCCAAGCTCAGACGCAATCATTGAATCATACTACCGCTGCTAGCTTCACAGATTCCTACCTCGGCCAAGATGCGCTTCCTTTCTCTCGCTGCTGTCGGGATCTCCTCCCTCCTCCATTTTGGGGTATCGCAAGACTTGTCCGGTCTTCCGACTTGCGCGGTACGTACATAGTATGAATTGCAAGTCTTCCACCAGCAGAGCTGACGTCAAAATAGGTCACCTGTGCCCTCAATGCCATTTCCAGCACAGGTTGTTCAGCCACCGATGCCGCCTGCGTCTGCCAGGCGAGCAGTTTCCTGACTGGGGTGTACTCATGCATTTCTACTGCTTGCAATGCTTCTGACATAGCTGGTAAGCTTGAGTGTTATCTGAATTAGAACTTCAGCTGATCTCGCATCCCTTTCAGCAACTCTGCAGTTCGCCGAGCAATACTGCGGTTCGGCTGGCGTGAGCATTACCCTTCCCTCGGCATCTGCCACCGCCGGTCCGACTTTCACTTCAGGCTCGACTGGTGCTACGGCATCCGCTTCCGCTACCGTGACTAGCTCGTATGTGCCGGCGAGCGGCGCTCCTGCTGCAACCTATACTGGCGGTGCGCAGATTTTGAAGCAGCAGTGGGCAGGTGTTGCTGGAGTTGTTGGACTGGGTGTTGCCGCCATGCTCTGAGGTGGCACGGCAAGAGAGAGCTCGGCCTGATAACCAAAAAGCCAGAAAGGAAAATTGAGGGAGATGGTCGGAGTGGATACTACGAGGAGGAGATATTGATGAGATTATGACGCGAAATGAAGAAAAAACCACTACGCAACAAAGTACTACTGGGAAAGTTAGTGCCGGTGATTGACCTTTGAGCAATCTGTCCTATATAATCCTAATTCCCATGATCCGTTTCAAGTTGTTTTGAAGCACTCGGCCAACTACATGGTAATCCTGCATTGACAGTGCTGTCGGTTAGGACGCCCAGTACTTAACGTGACGCATTGAGGGAATCGTTACCCCGACCCCTCGTCCAAATGGCGACAACTGGTCGCAAGAAATACAATCTTTCCGAACCGCCAGCGACTTTGCACGGTCCAGATGTTCAAGACAAGGCATGAATTTCAGACCCCGCGACGCTACAAGACCGCCTGAAGACAGCATATGCGCCTCATCACGTTTGTCATGCGGCCAACGTTGTACTACATGTACAGGGATGTCCTACAGGATGCACTATTGTGTGCAGCCTGGCTCAACAAAGACATGAAACGCTAAAAGTGAGCCCGTTCAATTAATTGTCAGAGGTCCAGGAGTATTCTTAGACACTAGACAGTTGATCGATATGTGATATGGAGCACGACCCGACCTCGAACATGTGTGTGCGTAAGTTGCTTTCCCCTTCCCACAGGCTCTTCCCACGAAAACTCCTCTAGCCTTCCTCAAGCCCGAGGAAATGGATTCTCTCTTGACAAAGTCGACGCCAGCAGTAAGCCGCAGTCTTTCAGCAGTCGCGGGGCCATGAAGAGTCAGGTGCTACTATTAGTCAATCCCATTGCCTCTTCGGGCTGAGACAAGCGCTTCTCGCAGATCAAAGGACAGGGATGCTCACAAGAAGAGCCGAGTTTCGCCGATGCCTTCAGTGCTCTGGATGGTGCGGAGACTGGGATCTTATAGGTGCCTGGGCGCTTTGCGAAGAGTTGGCCGTTTCGAGTCCACCGCGGCTCTTCAATGTGAAGGACCCCCTGCGCACCTTCGATGTGGCTGCATTGATACTAGATGAGACTGGTCAGCCTCGAGTGGGCAGTAACGAGAGGTGGTATATACCAGCGTTTACTGCGGCCTCGGAGTTCGACAGCGGCAAGACCACTGCATCGAACCCGGAGAGTAATGCACTGTCCTCATGATGTTGACCTCAGAGATCCTTATATACTCCTCGTTCATCAGGGCATGCTGGAAGATATCCTCACCGGGGGCATGCGAAAGCGAAGGGTATCCACCAAATCGTCACCCATAAAGATATAGAGGGCTAACAGATTCAGGCGAGCCACACTCATTCTCCAAGAGCCGCGCAAGGGATGAACACGTCCATACACGAGGCCTTCAATGTTTCCTGGAAGCTCAACCTTACGCGTAACCTGTGGCTTTGCAACTGTGACACTTATCTCAACCTATCAGCAAGAACGTGGCCAGGTTACACGAGCCCTGATCAGCTTCGACTTTGAACATACAGCAGCCTTTGCCGACGGCGATTCAAAGGCTCTCGCCGAAAATTTGGCCGCACATAAAGGCATCATCTCTGGCGCCGGGTTGAAGCATTATGCCGCAAACGTCCTCAATGTGCCAGAGGAGAATCATCGAGGCAGTCTTTGGACAGGCGAACATCTAGCTCTTGCGCGGTTCACCCGCTATATCGACATCAACCCCGTTCCTTCCCACTCGATATTCCAGTACATAGTCAGTCCCGAATCTACTGGCTTGTGCCAGACATCCACCTATCTTTGAGCTTCCTCACACTGGTTTGCTGTCACCCTCACCTCTGCCCATTCCGGCCTCAGCCATACAACCCCTCCAGCAGCCGCGTCTTATGCAAAGCACGATCTCCATCCCAGTGATGCCGACAGCTTTGTCCAGCCAAATCGCTCCACGGCAGCTTCCCGACTATTCATATTCGCAACAGTCACGAGTATGGACAAATCAAAGCTTGAGATATCCGATCTTCCGGATCTGCTGCAGAGGAGTCAATGGGCACTCTACTTGGACGATATCCCGCACCTCAGGGCCGAGAATAGTGGCACGGAGAAGTGGCTATTGTCAACGTCCGACCGGGCGGGTCTGTTGGCAGTATTGGACGATTCGATTCCAGACGTAAGGAGGGTATGGATGCTTGCGGGCGGATGGACATGACTTTGTTCGCGGTGGTCGTGAATACTATGAAGCAATACAATACACTAGCAGTAGTTTGGAATCGGCAACGACGACCTGCTTTCATTTCACCAGAGATGCGGATCTGAATCAATCACAAGTTGAACCTCTTTTCACCTCAAGTGCTCGCTTGTCAAGGCCACGGAGAAAGGAAAGAGAGAAGTAAAAGACGATGCACTCAATTCGCGGGCGCGCTTCGGCGCTCTCCGGTACCGCCAAAATCTTTCGACTTTGGCCCGATTGGATCTGCTTTCTTTTCCTCTTATCGCGTCGACGACAGCACGAGGCACGGCGCCCAGGGAGAAATGGGATATAAATGAATGCGAGAGGTCCGAATGGACTGTGATCCGATATTCAAGGGTTGGTACTTCGCTAGGACCACTACCGTTACCTCTCCCGAACTTTTGAATTCTTTGAGGAAGAAAATTTTGAAAAAGAACAAAATTTAAAAACCCCCCAAATGCCACGAGCCCAAGACCTCGCAGCCGCCCTCCTCTCGACCACTGAACATTCCATCATCCCCTTAACGGCGAAGCAAGTGTCGCAGGGCTCGAAGCTGTTTGGGGCTGCGGTGCTCGACCGCGCCAGCCTGTCGACCGTGATCGCCGAGACGAACAACGAACGCGATTCGCCGCTGCTGCACGGCGAGATCAACTGCATCCAGCAGTTCTTCCGCCTCCCAAAGGAGAAGCGGCCGGAGACAAAGGACTGCATCTTCTTCGCGACCCACGAGCCCTGCTCGCTGTGTCTGAGCGGCATCACGTGGTCCGGCTTCAACGAGTTCTACTACATGTTCACCTACGAGGACAGTAGGGACCTTTTTGCGATCCCGTGTAAGTTCGAATACTCCTCTACTAGTCGTACCCCCCTTGCCACCGAGCAGAACCTCGTCCTATAATGTGCTACCTCTCTACGGTCAGTGGCTGTACCGATAGTGACCCTTTGTGACTGACAACGTGAGTCGCTTCCTGCCCTCAGACGACATCGACATTCTGAAATCCGTCTACCAGGTCCCCTCGCCGGGCGACACCGAGGAGACCCTGGCGGCCAAGCCCCTATATAACCGCAAGAACAAGTTCTTCACGGCCCGGTCGCTGGCTGAGCTGATTGACTCGGTCGAGGATGAGGGGGCACGCGCGAAGCTGAAGAGTGAGCTGGATCGCGTGAAGAAGATGTACGACCAGCTCAGCGCGACGTATCAGGAGGGAAAGAAGAGCGGGGCGACGACGAGCAGCTTCTTTCAATAAAATGATGAAAGGGATTCGAGAGCTCGAGCTTCGAAATTATGACAATTTAGGATAATCTAAACGCGAACTTTTGAAACGATGTTATCGTTGAGATAGTACAGTAGCCCATCTATGCAGGATTATGAGCCTCAGTGAGCGTCTTTCCATCAACTACAGTGTTCGCCTTACCCAGTACACTAATATCGTATGTAGATGCCCCAGATCCTGGATGCGTTTCCTCTTCCACGCCCTCCGCTGATCGACTCCAGACTCAACCTTTGAGAAGGCCCCGGCAAGGTCGAGTTGTCCCATGCATCGTCATGTTGCATCATCACATGTTCTGGCCCCTTCCCGGCAGCACCAGTGGCAGGAGCGACAGCAGCAGTAGACAAGGGCGGAGGCTTCAGAGACCGTCAATCAGTAGCAGTATCACCGCCGCATGGACCATGCGTGACACATTCAATGTTGTGGCCGCCGGGGCTGATGGCGAACGCAGCGTAGTACGTCGGGTGATATTCTGTCCGGACGCCCGGTGCGCCGTTGTCGGTCCCGCCCGCCTTGAGAGCAGCGGCGTGGAAGGCGTCGACCTGTGCGCGGTCTACGGTGGTCACCACGGCTTCTGTCAGCTAAATGAATACTAAATTCCAACACGAAGGCAATGTGTAAATGGTGGCGGTAGTAACGAGATGTTCATACCCTTAGCCTGGAGTGCCACGTGGTTCATCAACACTTTGGCATCATTGGGAATGGGTTGACGGTCCTCGACGCCGGCGATCCACAGCCAGGGCGAGTCGTCGCCCATGCCGACGACACCAGGTGCGGGGCGGTAGAACTCCTTCAAGCCCATGTGTGAGAAGGCGGCGAGGAGGAAGGCGACCTCGTCGTCGACCTTGCTGAATGGGACCGAGTAGGACATGTGGTCGATAGGCATTTTGACGACTAGTTGCACAATACTAGTATAGTACTACTGCACACTGGTGTTGTGTAGAGGAGTCTCGTTCAAAGGTGAAGGTGAAGGTGAGGTGAAGGTGATGACTGGCTTCAAGTTCGAGTTTTCTGGGATTTGCTGATATCAAGCGAGTCCTTCCAGGAGAGAGAAAGGTGGGAAAGAATGACAACTAAATACCTTTTTTCGCTCCTAAAAAGATAGAATTTCCTCTCACGACTTTGCTTGTTCACTGCTCCTCCTGTGGCCCCCTCCATCCATTGAGTTCGTCCTTTCCCGCGCCCACCTTTCTTGAACCCAACTCACGTGCGGCCGTGTCGGTTTCGCGTGGCGTCTCGTCTTCCTAGCTTGGGTCTAGTCAGGTCCCAGGGCTTGCACGCGGCGCACGAGGCACCAGGCAGCAGTCGACTAGTCGGTTTGGCGATTGGGTAAGCCTGGCTTGCTGCCTGAGGGTGCCTAATTGATGCTGCGGGGTGCTCGGATGCTGATCGATGATAAATGAAATAGGAGGAGGGACACTCGGACGTAACTATTACTACTACTAACTTATTATAATAATAAATAGAAGTAACCACACGCGGAAGGACCGGGTCACGAATCTCTCTCTTGACACTCGTCTCCGATCGTCACATGACCCATGCTCAGGTTGTCAACATCCCCAGAACCTTACTAACCTTCAACGTTTAGACAATCCTTCGTACGGCAATCCGGTTCAGCGTTGTGGCCGCTCAGGATAGTCACTAGTAATTAGATCTGTCACCATATTACGCTCGGTAGAACTACTACTTCCAAGATTCCTGAATGGCCTAAAAAAGTTTAGCTCCACTACCCGATTAGGACGTTTCAGTGACGCGTTTCTAGACACCATTCGCTTACAATCTTGATCTGCTGATCCCTTAAATGGAAGGAGCGTTCGTTCTAAGTTCTTTCTACAATTACGACTGTATTTGTATACATTGGTAGATCTTACATAGATGTAGCGACCTTTCTACAGCCGTGATGCGTCCCTATCGTAGAGTGACCGTAACTTCCTATCTTTAGATAGTCTTAATTTAGAATCGGAAAATTCTTCCTTGGAGACATCGTGGAATGTCTCCCAGACCGCTTTAGTATACTAGTAGTATTAGAAACGCCCCGAAGCATTCTCACCTCCGCTAAATCGATATGAACTTTCTTAAGAAACATCTCGGAGACAGTATTAAATACTAATTCTTCAATGATGTATTGGAGACTATCCATGAACTCTCTACGTCTAGTACTGATACCAGTACTATATCGACTTAGAAAAGTATCGAACGTCGAATCGACTAGAGACAGACTGCCAAGGGCTATTTGAAATCGCCATTGATACCTGAAACCCTATCCAGAGATGCGATAGGAAAAGGACTTAACGTCTCAAGACCCTCGAACCGACGAAAGACCGTATAAAGACGTTACACATACGGCGTACACGCCTTGGAGGTGGGTAGAGCAGGACGCATTTCTACCACCCTTACCTCCACATAGTGGGCTGGCCTAGGCTGCCCAGCTCGAATTCAGCTTCAACCACCAGCAGCTACTCGGCGTGGAACTCGACAGACAGCGAGGCACTGACGTCGACAAGCTGCGGCTCGAAGTCGATACCCACGCCTACCCCGAACGTCGAAGCGCTGGTCGCCCTCCTCGCAGTCTGTCTAACGCGGCTGGTGGGCCAGGATTCCTCCGCGTCGTCAATCTTGATGCAGGTGACTTTCTCTCGACCGATGGTCTGTGCGTATGCCTGCGCCCGCGACATAGCATGTTCCAGCGCCTGCAACCGCGCTTGCTCGTCTAGCTCAGCTTTCTGTGCGTCCATGAGGTGCCAGCCGATACCTCTAAGCTCGACATACGGTATCTGCGACAGGCGGACGACCATCTCTCCCAGGCAAGCAAAATCGCGGAAATGGATGGCGATGTTGGAGCCGGCTGTGTAGAGTTTCTTCTCTAGCCGGTGGCCGCGGTTGTCATATTCGTCGGCCGCCGAGATGGAAAGCGATGCGATCGAGTAGAAGCTCACTGGCGCTGAGGGTGATATAACTCCATTCTCAAGCCTCGGGCAGAGTTGGTCCAGATCAGCTTGGATGCTTTTCACTGTCGAGACCACGTTGCTAGAGACTGCGTTCTTGTCCGGACCGTTGTCAGATGCGTGGATGTCAAGCACGGCGCGCTGTGCAGTTGTGCTGATAGTGGCGCGACCTTGAATATGGATCACAGTCGGAGCCATTTGCCGTGACGTCAACAGATCTCAAGAGTTCAACCAGATTTGAATTGGAGGGCAGAGAGAGTCGAAATGCGATGAGGTAACTTAGTAGTGGTAGGTAAGATGGGTGCAGAGTCAACCCCTTTTGTCAGGGGAGCTGAGCACTTTTATAGACATAAGTCCAGGGTCT